CGCAGCTACCGGAATATAAAATGCAAATATGCGTGCATGTTTTCAGTCAGAGCCAACACTAAACCCGTGTGAATATTAGCTCTACGCTTAACTGTAAGCGACATTTTAGAACACGGGGAATACCTCTAATCACCTCGTTGTCACAAAACCTTTTATATTTGATGTTCTGTTTGTATTGATCTGCATTCTTTTTGACATGCCATAAACCGTTCTAACGCCAGAACAATTTGAAGTTAGTTCAGTGCACAGAATAAACGCTCATATTCCATTTGTAATAAATTGCTTTTTGCGACATCCACATAATCCAAGTCCATCTTTGGCACCAGGAACAATAGAAAACGTGACTAGGCAACCGACATAAAACGTTTTCAAGATCGGATATGACAAGATGTGAACCCTTCTTCACCAATTCCAAAATTGTTCCCACTCACACCGAGGCCAAACACGCTTAACGGTTAAATGAAGAAAAGGTTAATGGTCTTCGGTTTTGGTACTGAAACTTGAAACACTAGATAAAAACGAATGTTGTGAAATGTGTTAAATCCAAAATAAATTTCCGTTTAAGGCTTAAACTGTTGGCTTTATCTAGTTGTGGAACGTTGGCTTTATCTAGTTGTGGAACGTGAATTGTGATTTTTGTTGTTACATAAACTGAGTTGGATTCAGCTTAATACAATGTTGGCGAAGGGATCTTGTTGAAGACTGCCACTTATAGGCGACATGCTACCCCGCTGAAATATCATACCGCGTTGCACTGCTTCCGAGCCGTCAGTGTCTGTCCCCTTAATACCATATACTAACGTCTTTGGGTATTACACGACGGGATCGAACCATCGTCCATCAGCCCTCTGGCAGACGCGCTGTCCACAAGGCCTGAGATGCTATCAAAGTGAGTGAGTCAGTTTAGCTTTACGCCGTTTTTGGCAATGTCTTACTGCGCAAACATCAGAAAATGGCATCACACTTTTCACCTATGTGGGGATTTGAGCCCGCGCCTTGGTGTAACGGGCGGACGCTTGAACCACTCGGCTATCCCACCGACCTGGATGTCAAAGATTACTGATGATCATGAAGTCGTAAACACAAACTATTTAAAACGAATACAAAATTTCTCATGTGTATCTCCGTTCAAGCGAAATGGAGTGAGTTCCTTGTGATTCACCGCGTGTCGAGACAAGCCGCGTCGAAATACTGTTGTAGGATGAAAGTGGTCGACATAACGGTAATTTCAGACCATCGTACGATGACAAATCAATGGTCACGATCAGAGCAAATCTGGGATCCGTCGATCCTGCCTTGACAAAGGGACGTAACCCTGACAAATCTGTCACTAAATTGCTTATACAACTAAGTAATCGATTCTGAAAGCTCTCTGCCACAGATACTAGAGAGGTCTCCGTAACTAGGCTTAGGCACAGAAGCAAACCTAGCAATGATACCAGGAAGGCCCTGTCATCTACATGTATTATTACACACCGCCGTCCGTACACTATGACTATGAGAATGCCATTAGATAGCCACGGAGTGGTAATTAACCCCTGAAATAGACATGGTATTGACACGGGATATGTAATGTATATTTACAATCAATATATAATGATCACCTTTATGTCAGTGTGGATAGGGACATCACAGGTCAGTGTTATGAAAGGGAAATATGCACAATTTAAATCGATGTCTTTTAAGGATTGTGGCAATATCATGTACAACATTCACAGCGTGTACAGTATATGCTTTATTGTAGAAAGTGTACAGTATTTGTGGTTTGGAACAGTGTTAAAGGCGTGGACAGTATTGTATAGCATTCACAGTACGTGCGATGTGGTACTTCGTGTACAATAATGTACAGCGTTTACAGTACGTGCAATGTGGTACTTCGTGTACAATAATGTACAGCGTTTACAGTACGTGCAATGTGGTACTTCGTGTACAGTATGTGTGGTTTTGTACAGCGTGAGTATAGGGCGTGTACAGTATCAAAACCGTACGCGCGGCATGGTATGGCGTGTACAGTATTTGCGCCGTTATAGTGTGTACAGTATTGTATAGCGTTTACAGTAGATGCGTTACATATTGTATAGTGCGTACATTATTGTATAGTGCGTGCAGTATTGTATAGCGTTTACAGTAGATGCGCTATTGTATAGTGCGTACAGTATTGTATAGTGTTTACAGTAGATGCGCTATTGTATAGTGCATGCAGTATTGTAAAGCGTTTACAGTAGATGCGCTATTGTATAGTGCGTACAGTATTGTATAGCGTTTACAGTAGATGCGCTATTGTATAGTGCGTACAGTATTGTATAGCGTTTACAGTAGATGCGCTATTGTATAGTGCGTACAGTATTGTATAGCGTTTACAGTAGATGCGCTATTGTATAGTGCGTACAGTATTGTATAGCGTTTACAGTAGATGCGCTATTGTACAGTGTCCGCAGTATCGTATAACGTTTATGGTACGTACGCTATTGTATAGTGCGTACATTATTTTATAGCGTTTACAGTAGATGCGCTATTGTACAATGCGTACAGCATTGTATAGCGTTTACAGTAGATGCGCTATTGTATAGTGCGTACATTATATTATAGCGTTTACAGTAGATGCGCTATTGTACAATGCGTACAGCATTGTATAGCGTTTACAGTAGATGCGCTATTGTATAGTGCGTACATTATTTTATAGCGTTTACAGTAGATGCGCTATTGTATAGTGCGTTCAGTATTGTATAGCGTTTACAGTAGATGCGCTATTGTACAGTGTCCGCAGTATCGTATAACGTTTATGGTACGTGCGCTATTGTATAGTGCGTGCAGTATTGTATAGCGTTTACAGTAGATGCGCTATTGTACAGTGTCCGCATTATTGTATAACGTTTATGTAACGTACGCTATTGTAGTGTCGACAGTATTGTATAGCATTTACATACGCGCGCTATTGTAAAATGTGTACATTATTGTACAGCGTTTATAGTACGTGCTATATTGCAGAGTGTGTACATTATTGCATAGCGTTTGCAATACGTGCGCTGTTGTACAGTCTCTACATAATACAGTGTTAGTACACTATGTCCTGCTACGCAGCTATTTCCATAGTTCAGCAATTTCATCGCTTCACAATTACAAACGTCGGAATACAATAACTGACTCACCGTTATTGTTGGAAAGTTACGTGACATTTTTCATAATATACATATAGCAAGCTATCATATCGATCCCACCATACAAATGTTAATATTTTTCTCTCTCGCTCTATAGGGTTGTATGTCAAAATACTTGTAGATAATTATCAAGCAGTTTACATGACAGTCAGTCGTTAATGCTAATTCCCGAAGGAATGGCTCGAGTACATATTGCATGGCTTACCAGACTTAAGGGTCTGGGGTGACGTGTATTCAGGGCAAGGAGCTCTTTCGTACAAGTGCACCCTTGAAAGTAAGTCAATGTGGAATTTCAAGAATTTAGACGCTCGCATTATGATCACGGCTTCTTTGAAATACAGCGATGAACGGACAAACCTCTTCTTCGAGTCGGATCGTACGATGAGCTACGGCGGCTTTCATCCACAGCTACACCTATAACATCTGTGTTTTATTACAACTACTAAAACAAAATACCTAAAGACAGCAGTTACGAAACAAAGTATCCGTGTTTCAGCGTACAACAAGATCTGAAGGGTTAGAGCCATACTTGTCAGCGTCTGGGGAACAATGTCCATTAACATCAATGCGCCTCTCATGGCAGACAGAGACTGCGGGAATTACATCTGTATTATAATCAACGCTAATGAGACAGACATTGAACTTAATATGATTAATATGTGTTGTTTTCTTATAGTTCCGTACACATTGCTATAAACCGTCAACGAAAGAGAATGAGTGGTCTCGAAACAGTCAGTGAGTATGGTTTTAAGCCGCTTTTAGCAATATTCCAGCAATACAGCGGGAACACCATAAATGGGCTTCACACATTGTACCCATATGGGGAATCTAACCCTGGTCTTCCCGAGCCATCGTTTTAAACATTGGGCTACCCCACCGCCCTCTCGAAACAGAATCCATGGTGTGTTAAAAGCGAAATAGCGGTATTGGTCACTGAAAGTCAGCGATTGCAACGCTTTCTAAGTAATTATTACAGTGTAATAATGCTACAACATATTCTGCGGTTCATCTGAAACAGTTTACGTTGAGTAGACCATGCAAAACAGCGAAGGAAATTGAATCTGTAACTGAAAATCAGTCATGACACCAGATGTTAACAATATTTCTTTCGGGGTTGAAGTTGTTGTTTTGGTGTGTGTCTTGGCATAAATACAACTATAATAAACAACAGCCTTCTTCGCTATATCTAGTTGTACACACGCGACAATGAAACCATGTAGTCGCAAGTAATACTAAACATCCGTATGCTCATTTCCAGTTATGTTAAACAAGTTCCAAACGCGTACCCAACTGTAGACTTAATATAAAGAAAATACAATACGTGCAACGAGTTTATAGTATGTAATTATATCATAACAACAGTCGGTTGTTTCAATAAACAATAATAGTGTCGATGACATAATTTCAATGCTTTTGTCTGTTTCAATTCTGTTGTTGTTGTTTTTATCATTTGTTGGAATCTACGTCGCACTTTCGTCACCCACTGTTCAACTTGGTTACGGTTTTCGGATTACTAATGAGGCATTCGCGTATCTGTACACGTATAAACAGACCAGGAGGATAATACACGGAAGACTTTTGGATTGCGTTTGAACGGAGAGTACTGTTCGAGTGTAGTACACAAAACTCAAACCTGAAAAAACAACAAAACAAGTTTTCGAATGAAACAACACAAAATCCTAAATTCCAAAGCCGAAAAGAAAAAAGAAGTCGTGTTTACATCTAACACATGATGTTGCGTCTGTAGGTGGAACATACACATTTACTTTTGTTGAAAGAACGTTCCAGGAACGTCAGTATCAACATGTCAACATTGTTAATACATTTGGACAAGTTTCTTACCTTGGACAAAGAATTCCAACATTCCTAGTTCGTTTTAATTCCAATTCCCTCTCTCTGGTGTATCCTCATTCGTCATACCTCTCATACAGCGGAGTGATACAGTGATACCTTGACTTCTCACTCATAGCTTGATTGATCACTTCTCACAAACAGTTAGTACCTTATCCGAAATACACCAACAGTCTAATAGACCAGTATGTGAACCAGGATTTTGTGGGCATGCTTGTTATCACGTGATTTCTTGGAGCCAATCAAAGACTAGCACCAGTCCGCGGCGGAGAACAAGGGCCAACCGACAGTAACGGTATACATGTATAGTTGCTTCCTCGTCGTATCGATCAGTTTCTGTAGCAATCGGCGTTATCTCTCGTCTATGACAGCATGATAATCTCAACCAATGCCACTTACAGCAGCACCAGGTGAGCTAGGATTAACTGCTTTTACTGGGAGTTACACAGAGCTAGCTGCGAGAATATTTACAGGAATGTCAGCAGTTATAGTCAAACGACTGGGCAGCTCGAGGGTGAGAGTGGTGACTCTTGCTTTCACCGGAGTCCACGTGCTGCAGGCTTCCGTTCACAACCTGCAGCAGTCTCGCTTGAAACATCACCTCCCTCTGCCAATCAATCATAAATCACATCCCCTTATTCTCGAGCAGACGACAATCCATTGACAGACGACCAGAGGACAGTTCATTGAAACACGAGCAGACTATTCCTTGATCTATGAGCAGACGACAATTACATCAGATAACAACACCTCGTCGCGTGATTACAAAGTTTCATACATGCATAGCTACAATTTCCATTCCTATCATATCAACTGAATGAAACCTGTAGGACAATAGATATTGATGTCACTCCGCGTGGCTACACACACTCTCGCCTTGATCGTCGAAGTTGGTGATCTGCCGGGGACATCAGTCACAATGGTATTGTCCCTTCCTGTGGTGTTGTTGCTGAATACGTCGGGGAAGGAGAAATACGTGGTGGTCTTCCCGGCGTGTGGTTATCTATGAACTACAAGATCGACTTGGTAACATTAAGTGCCTAGATTTCAAGTATCAGGATCATTATCTCGACAAAAACGTTCGATAGAGAACAGTTTCAGAATCGTCGTTGATTTTCTTTTCCTTTTTCTTAATGGCCACAGCTTTGATCAAGTAGGTTAATAAACGGTATCTAATGCAATGTTCATGCGTTACAAGAACAAAGTATTGTTTTTCTCAAACGGATTTCTGCGACTGTACAAACAAAATATTTTCAAGCAAGCTTGACCCAGTGAATATTGAAGTGAATGACTCGTCGTCTATCCCGCCTTGTGTCAGATCCTCAGAAATGGCACTGAATTGCCCGTATCTGTAATTGTTCACATTCCCGGAGTCCAGTTTCACGACCAGTGTGGCAGAGAGTGCAAACAAATCCTGTTTGTCCAACATACAAATGTATCCACCGACTAAACAATATGAAACTGACACTGGGATGCGTTCGGTGATTTTAGGCAAATACCGGCCCAAGAGATTTTGGACAGAGAAGCCGTATACACTTCCACTGAAACGTTATTAGCCCTGATCGGTAGTAGTAGTCAAGATGGTGGATCTGTAACGGGATTTCCTGATCAGCTGGACTAATAAGAGTTTTCTTTATCACATTTAAACCATCAAGAAACTATGACCTCCCTACATCAAGTCAGATGCTTGCTCGGCCGCTTCATGAAAGATTGTTCACCATTCCGCACAATGTATATTGACAATGACGTGCCCTGGAAGAACATTCTGGTGAAAGTTCTGTTTCCTGGCTCTGGTGTTCTGTTTGACCTCTGAAGGATGGCATGTCAATGTCTAAAACAGAACCTAATTATACCGACAAGTCAATAACGACATCAGGACACATCAGACCAATAAACAGGGCGTAGTTAGATTCTGGAAAAGCGTTTGAAGCCCCAAAAGTATTTATGAATCCTTATAAAACAGACTACGGAACTTAAAAAGAAAATGAACTCCAGTACCTCAGTTGTTTTTTAAATAAAAGCAATTGTTCAAAGGCTTTTCTACTCTGACACATTAAAAAAATACAGAAATTAACTATCACCCTCAACTAAAAATAGATGTCACGTGCTTACTTTTAACAATTCTGTTGTCCTACCCCATAGCGTAACATTAAAATATATTTGCAAACCTTTTTACAACTCGTTGAAGTGGCACTTAACGTCAGGAATATAATTGTTAATTACTCGTCATGATTTATGGCACATAGTAAGATTAAATAGCGATAATGCCGGGCATTGAACCTTATGTTCCATACATTGCTGAATTCTACTTTGCATTAGCTTCGATGTGCATTAGGGAGAATACTCGATTGTTTGTTACAGTCTCGACTATTTTTTGTTATAGAGCTGGAATATTGCTGAGCGCTGACAAGCAAATTTACTTGTTGCAATTCCATGCCAAGCAAGCCATTGTTTGGTTTTTGGCGTCTTGTTGTCTACTTATAGGCCAAACCCTATAAAGAACATTTGCTGATGTCGCATTCTTTGATGCCAAATAACTGTATTTTCTGAGATTGCAAAGGAAGTTAATGAAATGCGCTTCTCGTTAAAATAGAAAAGAATGATATATTTTGTACTCATTTTTGTATTTATGTACCATACAACAGACATTTTCTACTTGAAGTATGCTCTACACGGTGTTAAATAGTCTTGACATACGAAAAACAAGCGTGTTAAGAGAACAAAAAGTGTCAAATCTACTCTGTAATATATATGAACTTTTAGACGATATAAAAAGAAGGTATTCAGCTTAAGTAAAAAGACCGGTACCTTATGTCAAGTAAATCCCAGAACGTCGTGACATCATCGCTGTTGTCAACGTTCACGACAACGCCGGCAGCGATGTATACGCTTTGAGGAAAACAGCAGAACCCAGAGAGCAATCGTGCCCGTTGGCTGGATCCGAAACGCTAACCTGCCGACAACGAAGGAATCTCTCCCTGCAAGTGGACATGGCCATCGATTGTTGGCAATCTCGCGTCCGCTTCAGTCAACGGCGAAAGGGATTACCATTCCTGCAACTACCTCCGGGAATGGTACGGAACGGCCGTCTTTAGACTACTTTTCCATACAATTTATCATTTACAATAGATAGGATTAATTGTGAGGAGGAAGCCAAGCGAATCAATTGTGGTTATATAACACTTTGTCAACATTGTACTAGAACGATGTACCGCTGGCGTCTCCATAAACTCTTGTGACGTTTAGCTTACGGTTCATCTAACCTTATACGATTTTCTGTCAGTTGGAAAATTTTGGCAAAATATTTCGGCAGCAGATTAAAGCTGATAGAGCGGCTTCGGGGACGTGAATGTGATTGGGGATCTCGCCGATGACGACTCTGACGTCTCCGCGAGGCGAAGACTGGATGCAGCCGCCGCGACTGTAATTACCCCGAGTTCCAATAGCCAGAAACGTTGGTCGCTGCGGCAATCCAGCTTTATTGACACCAGTGCGATATGTATTCCTGCTGCGAACTTCGATTGTAATATAATCCCGTGGTATAGCTGATTATTATAAAAAATGGACGTTCAATATGTTTTGTTAGAAATGGTGTTCTCTTGTTGAATAAAATATTTGTTGTAGTTTGTGAATACCCGATGAGGCTCATGAACCATACATGAACCATTTCGATTATTGTCAAGATGAAATGAGGAATGACTGTTATTGCCCGAGGCTGACTGACCGCTGAAGGACATTGTGAACAGCATTTAGATGAAAGAGTGAGTGAGTGTGGTTTTGACCAGTCCTCCAGTTACACTCAAGCAGTCCTGTGTCGAGTTACAGTCAAGCAGTGAGTGAGTTGGTTTTGACCAGTCCTCGACAGTCATTGCACCCTGTGTCGAGGATTGCGATGAAAGAGTGAGTGAGTTGGTTTTGACCAGTCCTCCAGTTACAGTCAAGCACCCCTGTGTCGAGGATTGCGATGAAAGAGTGAGTGAGTTGGTTTTGACCAGTCCTCCAGTTACAGTCAAGCACCCCTGTGTCGAGGATTGCGATGAAAGAGTGAATGAGTTGGTTTTGACCAGTCCTCCAGTTACAGTCAAGCACCCCTGTGTCGAGGATTGCGATGAAAGAGTGAATGAGTTGGTTTTGACCAGTCCTCCAGTTGCAGTCAAGCACCCTGTGTCGAGGATTGCGATGAAAGAGTGAGTGAGTTGGTTTTGACCAGTCCTCCAGTTGCAGTCAAGAGCCGCTGTGTCGAGGATTGCAGGAGATACGTGAATACTTCGAGTTATCCGAGGTTCGACATATTCGCAACATGATGCCTAGATTACTAATGTGCAGTGACGAAGCATTTATTTCGAGACAAAAGTAAGTTCGACACAACGTTGTGATACAGTTGTACCGCTTTCAGTGAGTGAGTGAAAATGGTTTTACGCCGCCTTAGCAACATTCCACCAATATCACGGCGGGGGACACCAGAAATGGGCTTCACCCATTGTACCCATGTGGGGAATCGAAACCGAGTCTTCGGCTTGACGAGCCAACGATTCAACCACTAGGCTACCCCACCCTGTACCGTTTTGGATTGATGCAGGAGCGGTCATGGTGCTGACAAACCTATAAATATAATCTGGATGAACTGGGATTCGAACTCACGAATATGCATTTCTGGCATTCCCAGTGTATAATCCACGGAAAGATTTGTGCTTGGCAGACTGTTGCTTAACTTGAAAATATGAGTTAATGATATTGTTAAGCTGGTGTTGAATATAATCAAATGTCTTGGCGAAACAGAATATTTTACAATGTGAATTGCAACCCACGTCAACCCGTGAACCCATGCTTGTAAGGGGCGACTAACGGGATGGGGTGGTCAGGCTCGCTGACTTGGTTGACATATGTCATCGGTTCCCAATTGCGTAGATAGATGCCCATGCTGTTGATCATCGGATTGTCTGCTCCAGACTCGTATATTTACAGACCGCGGTCCATGTAGCTGGAATATTGCTAAGGGCGACGTTAAACAACAAACGAATAGACAAAAACAACCTACGCCATTAAATGAAAAGTGACAAAATCGCTCAGCCGTCTAAACATGCTACATACGTTCTATTCATGTTTATCAATGTTTGTCTTACAGACAACTTACTGAATTTTGAGTCAGGCTCGATGGCTTGCGGGTTGCGTGACATCGTACCTTGAGCATGTGTCACCTGATTGTCTGGTCCAGATCCCAATCTAACGCCACCGTCATATAACTGGAGTGTTGTTTTTTCTTGTTTGTTTGTTTAGCGTTGCATTCATAAATATTCCAGCTATATGACGCCGGTCTGTAAATAATCGCACCAGCCAGTCCAGAGATTGACATCATGTGCATCGATCTACGCAAAACAGCAAACAAACAGATCGCGTTTGAACGTTGTACAACAGTCATCAAATTGAATCCTTTGTCTTCTATGTTGATATCACTGGGGAATCAAACACTGGCGGTAAAACACAGAGTGACAATCATCATTTTGTTGCTAAAACGGCCCGTCATTGCCCCTGAATGGACAATTTGTCGTTAATTGATTAATATGGTCTTGAGTCAGAATATCAGCTACATTTGATGGCGCATTTTCAATTTTGCGCTAAAAGTTCTGATTTGAGTTCAAAACATAATATATTCTTCAACAAAGAACCAGTTTGGTTGACTTCGAAATGAGATTTAATTCTGGAAAAACAACACAGAGAAAGTCCAAATTGTGCATAGTGATCCTCAGTTGAACCTAGCCTCTCTCAGAAACTAGCAGGCCAAGGGTACAAGGTCTAGGTCACCTGCAGTCAATAACGTGTATGTCCGCCCCGAGCATTGAGAACTGCCTGACACCTTCTGCCCATGGACGCAATCAAAGATTGAATTACCGCACGGGGAATGGTGACCCACTCTGCTTGCAGTGCTCACATCAGCTGCTGGAGAGTCTATGGCTGTGGTTGTCATTGCCTCAGCCGTCTATACAACTCGTCCCACAAATGTTCTTTTGTGTTCGAGTCTGGAGGGCAAAGGGGAGTCGTCATCGTTATAGTTGTGTCCTTATTTAGCTGTATGTGGACTGGCGTTTTCGTGCTAGAATACAGTGCTGGCCATGACGGGGATAACGTTGGCTGGTAGGCTGGTTTGTTATTTAACGCCACACTCAGCAATATTCCAGCTATATTGCGGTGGTCTGTCAATAATCGACAGTGGACCAGACAATCCAGTGTTCAGCATCATGACCATTGTTCGACGCATTTGGGAACCGATGACATGTGTAAACCTGTCAGTCTGTCTGTTTGTCAGAACCAAGTCAGCGAGTTTGACCATCTGATCCCGTTATGGTCGCCTCTTACGACAAGCATGGGTTACTAAAGACCAATTCTAACCCGGATCTTCACGGGTAAGGATAACGTGAGGTCGCAGGATGTGATTGGTGTTATGTGATCCGATAGGCTATAGGTTACATGGGTATAGATGAGATGGCAGGCCGCATCATCACACTGCCGCCACTCTTAGCAACTGGAACCACCGACGTCGTTGTTGACGAAGTTGTGGTGTGAAGATGACATCTCGAGCTGGACGTCTAATGCGAAGACCTGCGTCACGTAGGCGGTTCCGAAATGTCTTGTTCCGACGGTATTCTCCACAGACCCTGTATTGCCGATGCGGGCGACGCTGC